ACGATCGTCGAGTCGAACACGTTCGTCTGCGCACAAAGATTTTGTGCATTGTGCTGTCGTGCGGCCTGGTTTGTTTCCATTGTTGGGGGGAGCGGGGTGAATAGTTCTATGTTGTTGTTGGTTGTTCTATTGCTGCTGTTGACCGTTGCCCTTGTGCCGTGCAGGGCGTCTTCTCTTCACTGTTGCTATGGAGATCTCTAATATGACCCCTGAACTTTGGCGTGCACGCAAGGCACACCCTTTCCCACCTTGCGCATTGTAAGTCCGACAATGTCAGGGCAGCGTAATCTATGAAGGCGCTTGTCCAGAAGACTTCGAATGCGACCCTTGGATGAGAATCCTCCCGTTTGGCGACAAACATTTGGACTCATGGGAGGAGTGCGAGTGGGTGAACATGATGGAGAGATACACGTGGGCGTGCGATTATGAGTTCGCGAATATGTCCGAATTCGGCAAACGCATTCCCGTTCGATGTGCTGCGTCCCGTGCGCTTGCCGCTATTGTGTAAAAAACTAAAAATAAGCCGTGTTTTGGGGGTTTTGGACTATGAATACGTGACAACCTCGCCTCGCACCTGGTGCCGTGTTATGAAACAGGAGTTACTCGATTGTGCGCGACATTCTCAGTTCCTCGATCATTATCTGTTGCGATCTCCCGGTCTGTCGCCAGGAGCAGTTTCGTATTGTTGTGTGAGATTGCGTCTGGCATACTTTATCTTATGTAGGGTCCTCTGTATTGTCGTTTCGAGCAGGGCAAGAAACTTGACCGATGCTGTCGTGTATGTGTCCAGGAACGAGTTGTCTATGTCCGGGAGGGATATGTGTTTAGTTCAAAGAAGGGTAGATGGGAGACTAGATATCGTGGTGGGTGGCCAGGTGGAGGACGTTGTCGCATGGCGCGAGGTCGAGGCTAAAGACGTTTCAATTCGGGATGCCATAGGCGCTTCTCTCGTCGGGAACTCTGGGTTTGTGCGAATGACATACATTTCGGTGTTTGCTGAGATGGCGCAGCAGCTGACCTTCGGATCGCCAATTAGCGTGTTGAATGGCCGCAACGGCGTGATTGCTCCACGTAGTCGGTAGATAGCCTTCGTCATAAAGAATGGCCGAAACGGCATACTGAATGGCCGAAATGGCCGCAACGGCGAGATTGTTCCCGTAGATAGCCTCGTGGAATTCGCATTGCGTGTTATTTCGATAACAATACGCGGTATCTGCTACTTGTTCTCGTCATGTATTCAGTGGCGAGAAGTACACACGTTTGACGTTGTTGTCCTCATATTGTTTTCCGATTCGTTGAAATACGGGAATGATGACACGTGTTTTTGGTTTGGCTTTGGACACCGACACATCGCTGTCGGCCGAGTGTTTGATTGTTGTTCTCATATTGTGTTTCCTTACAGTTTGATGTTTTGCGTGCACAAACATTCAGCTGTCAATGTTTCTCCGTGTTAACCAATGCCTGCGATCTGTTGTCTTGTGTTCTCGTGATCAAGTGCCCCTTTAGGCATCGTCCGCCGACCATTGTGTTGAACACGACAAATGTCGTACAGCACACCCCAGTGTCGTTGTCGTGTTCGACACAATGGTCGCCAGACGGTGCCCGGACTGTCGAACGGCGGACTACAGTGTCGCTGTCGTGTCGAACACGACGGTCAGCTCCCCTACAGGCACGATTTGGCGACCATCGTATCGAACACGACATGGACTCTGTTATCTGGAGACCAGACGGTGCATGAAGGGCCGCTTGGTCGACTGTCGCACGGCAGACAATAGTATAGCTGTCGTGTCCAACACGACGGTTAGTCAGCCCGCGCAGTGCCGTCGGGTTCGACACGACAGTGACACAAGGACCCCGCAATGTCGCTCTCGTGTCGAATTCGACGGTACAGGAGGAAGTCGTGGCACGGCCGTCGAGTTCGACACGACTGTGAAACGACGACGAGCAGGCGGGCTGCGGCCCACTGCAGTTGCTATGTGTTCAAACATTCAGCAGTCAATATTTCTCCGTGTTAACCAGTGCCTGCGATCTGTTGCCTTATGTTATCGTGATCAAGTGCCCCTTTAGGCACCGTCCGCCGACCATTGTGTCGAACACGACAAATGTCGCACAACACACCCCAGTGTCGCTGTCGTGTTCAACACGATGGTCGCCAGACGGTGCCCGAAGGGGCGCTTGGTCGACTGTCGAACGGCGGACGACAGTGTCGCTGTTGTGTTGAACACGACGGTCAGCTCCCCTACAAGCACCGTTTGGCGACCGTCGTGTCAAACATGACATGAACACGATTATCTGGCGACCAGACGGTATATGAAGGGTCGCTTGGTCGACTGTCGCACGGCAGACAACAATGTGGCTGTCGTGTCCAACACGACGGTTGGTCAGCCCGCGCAGTGCCACAACGACACCGCAATGTCGCTCTCGTGTCAAATTCGACGGTACTGGAGGACGTTGTGGCACGGCCGTCGAGTTCGACACGACAGTGGAACTACGGCGAGCTGGCGGGCTGCGGCCCTCTTCAGTTGCTCTGTGTTCCTGTCTACTCTTGTTCTCAAGTGCTGTGGTGTTTGCACGTTGGCAAAGCAATGACTGCATTCTTGCTTGTGCGTTTTCTTCTGCGACTAGCTGCTCGGCATGGATCGCGAGGGGAAGCCAACCAAATGACGTACTAGTGCTGGTTCCCGGAGCATGGAGCAGTCTCCGAAAAAACCGAAGGGGACACCGACGGCTGGCGTGGAGGCTGGCGACACACCAGGGTCTAAGGGCCACCGAACCCCGCTGCAGCGGGGTGCGCCTTCTACGGAAACTCCTTCCGCCCATGTACGAGGTTCGGGACCGGATTCGGCTGTGTTGATGAGTGGTGGGGCTGCAGGTCGAGAAGAGGAGGCTACTGGTCGGCAGGGGAAATCTGCGATGGACGTGCCCAGGCGTAAAAGGTCTGGTGACACGTCCGTTGCAGGTGTGGGAGACGAGGTGCCTGTCGTCGACCACCAAGACAAGTGTTGGATGTCGGATTGGGTGGGTGGAATTGGGGAACGCTCGGGTGGGCTGGTTTTGTACGTGGTGATAAAAGATAACATTGTTCCGATTGGCGGTGTGGTTAAGTGGAGTGGAGAAAAATCGTCGTCGGCCATGTTGGAGTTGACGATGGTCCTTAACGCTAGAGGTGAGCGGGTGGCGGGTGTCAAACGCGTTGCTCTTCGTTGGGCCAAATACGCTGGGTACGGCAAGAGGCTTTATGACATTTTCAATCCGCCCGGGATGGAAAAATTGACGTTGGCGGACCTTCGATCGGTTCTCGCATTCTTCGACAGACATGTGGTCGTAGGGCATGAGTCGGTGGTGCATTCTTCCGACCGCATATCTGAACCGAAAAATGTGCTTTCGTCGTCTTTGGAGGCGGCTCCGTCGTCGAAACTGATCATTATAGGTGTCCGTCCTCCGCCATCACTTCGGACTACGGTTGCTGCAACACGAGTTTCGAAATCTGGGCAGATCGGGGAGAAAGGTCCGTGTCGCGGCCAAATCGTGCCGTCAGCCCCTGTGAAGCGTAGACCAACATCAACCAAGGAACCCGTTTCCTTGGTCCGCCCGTCGCGCTATGAGTTGGCCATTCCTGCTGGGCCACAATATTTTGGAGATGACGACGAGGAGAACAGCGCAGAAGAATGGGAGCGGGATGAAGAACGCGAAGAATATGAGGAGGGTGGCGAAGAAGAGGAAGTAGAGAGTGAAGAACACAATCAGCGAGAGGGGTGGGCCGGGCGAGTTGGAGGGTCGTCTAGGGGTTGAGTATGAGGACGAAGGGCAAGAAGAGGAAACGACCGGCGAGGGAGGGTATGCAGATGTGCATCGGGGTTCCAAACGAACGCAGCTGCTCGCGCCGGGTCATGGGCATTGGGAAGCGGATCTAGGGCACGGGGAAATGCACCGCGAAGTTGGGGTCGAGCCGGCGCATGCCGATGCAGTCCGACTAGCTGAGAAGAAAAGGAAGATGAGGCAAAAGAGGAAAAGTGCTATGGACAGTAAGAAAACCAAGCAGAAGGGGGGAGCCAAGCAAGAGGAGGGCAAACGCAAGTTGAAAATGCTGGCAGTTGAGGAGGCCGTCCAACGTACGCGGGAGGTTGAGGAGGCCATGAAGAAAAAACGGCAACCAAGGAAAAAAGCAGCGAAGGGAGGTGTGATGGAAAAAACTTCCGTTTTTCCACCGGACCAGCCATAGTCGAATGAAGACGCTGTGGGCAAGACAGTCACCAGACTGCCCGGTTTGCAGATTCTGCCGCGTGGGAATTCTTCTGGTCATCTGAGCAAAGGCTTCTTCCTTGAGTTCGACGAGAATGGTAAACAGAGGCCGGAAATGCAGTTCATTTCTGTCAAGTTGGATAGGATTCTGGATATCCTTGATGAGGAATTCAGATATAATCAACGCTTCCTCGATCAGGAGCTTATTGATGACCTTTACAAAATAATGGTTGAGTTTGTTGATTGGGATACATAATACAATGCATACTGACGCTTCTGGTACGAATGTGACGGCGAGAAGAGTGACGCCCGGCGAATTCGATCTTCAATCTGTGCGCAAGTACTACTGGTTCCCTCTCAGTGGTCAACACAATGTTGCGGCGGCGAGGAAATGTTCTCAAGAACGCCCTGACATCGCCCGTGAGCTCCGTTTGGATTGCTGGACTGCAAGGCCTGTTTACTATCCGGATAGGAGCATGGAAAATTACTGCACCTTGAGCACTTTCCAAAATGCGAAGGACAAATGGAATACTCCTCCGCACCAGATTGCTATCATTAAGAACATACCAAAGTTGTGGCAAGCAGCCGGTCATCCAGAAGCTATAGGCGGATCTGCTGCAGAAGTAAAAAATAAGGATTACAGAGAGTTTGCGGCGATGGCTCTGCACGCGACCGGGAGTGATCATTTGGTTACTCTTTTACTTCAAGCTTGGAGCAAGGAGTGGTCCGACGTCCTCGGGCCTTACATGATATCAGCAAGGGCGACGGACAATATGTTCGAGAAGGTGCAACAAGTGTATTCTACTTGGGAGAGTGGACAGTTGTCGGGGAGAGATGGTGTGAAGCCTGCCATCAAACATGGTGAATCGGGGAAAGCGCCAAGACCTGGCCCTGGATTCGAGTTGGAAAAAGGAGTCAAGGTTCCAGTGCACTGGATTCAGGGGACTGGAGGACCTGGTTACCTCGTGGCTGTGCGCGATCCGGATGTTAGATCATGGAAGGCTATGTCTACGTTGGGGAGGCGTGAGAGGCTTCAGCTGTTGCGAGACATTCTCGCGGGAAGTGTCGTACTGGCTCCAAGGCTAAGTAAAGTTGCTCACACTGCCGGGAAACATTCGATGGAGACATACGTGGAAATGGTGAAGCGGGAAAGAGCAATGTTGAGAATGTTTCACTACTTCGTCTTCATTTCTGACCCTCACAAGAAGCCGTCAGAGTGGAAGGAACCATTCTTCTACAACCTTTCTCATTTGTTCGCTAAGTATTGTGATCAAGGATTGACATCGGAGAGGTGGATCGACCAGCGATGGCATTTCAAAGAAACGAGTTGGGTGCGGTCATTTCCGGCTACACTTGGAGGCGAGGATGAGAAAGGAGAGGAGAGCTTCAAGAAAATAAAATCGCTTGCAAACAAATGCCCCGAAGAGTTCATTCAATTTGTCAACAAGTTGTTGCGTAGATCTGGAACTGGGGGTTCGCATAGCATTCGTATGTCGGGACAAGTGAGATTTATATATTTCCATAAACAGGAAGTGACATTTGTATTCGTGCCGTTCCGGTGTGAACCGAGTGATGTTTCAGACGAGATGGATTGCAAGGAGATGTTTAGAGTCGTCAAACACCTGACGTGTCACACAGTCGTCCTGGATTTGTGCCGCCTGACCCAGATGGGTGCGTGGACTGAACAAGTGTTTGATGGACTCAAGAAGTTCATGGACAAACTTGGCGGCGATTATTGGACATTGTTGTACTTCGTTCCACGCCCTTGCGAGTTCACATTCTTGAGGCGAGTCGCGATGTGGGACATTCACTTGGATCTTCTCAAATTGACTCGTCTACAACAAACAAAGGGGAAAGTGGCATATAAGGTTGCAAACTTGCCTTTGGAGGACACAGACAGAATGGTGGTCATCATATACTCCAACGACGGGGATTTTCATCGCAACCCTATTCCCTTGTTTGAAAATATTCAAGCTGCAGATCCATCATCTGCCGAGCGAGTGGCTGACATATCGACACTTGTGTGGAGAGAGAGAAAACCGAAGATGTTGACTGATGTCGCGGAGAATGACAGGTATGGATCCACCAGAGAAAGTGGTCTATGATGGTATGGAAAGGGAGCCGAATGCGATGGTGGAGACATTGAAGCATTTTGTCCTGCGGACGAGGCTGTCGTTTTCCTCGGGAAAGGTCATGCAGGATTGGTTTGGGAGCTGTTAAAGAGTCACCGCCTTTGCATTGTGCTGGAAGGGGAGAGTATGAAGTTTGAGTTCCTCACTCAGTTCATTAACAAGATGGTCAAAACTCGAGATTACGCCAGCTTTACTAAGACGCCTCCTCGACATGATGAAGGGCGTGATCTCGTCTACAAGGTTGGCCAAAACGTGGTCGATATTTGGGAGTTTCTCTTCGAAACAAAGCCACAAGACAGAGGGGAACATACTTATGTCCTCAGAAGAAGAAAAGTGGAGAAACTCTTGAGGGGTTATCATAAAGCACCATCGGAGAGGGAGGTTTCATTTCTCGACCGCTTGGAGACAATGTACTTCGACCAACAAATCGGGGCGTTTACAATCGCAGGTTATGTGACTTGTTTTGTGGATGGTGAGGACTTCGATGCCGACAACTCAGAAGAAGAGAGTGTTGATGACACTTTGAAAGTGGCTTTGGCAGCTGAGAGGCAAAGAGCTTGTAGCCCGGGTTCGCAGAGAATGGGTGTTCCAGGCACATCGTCCGGTTCTGGAGGAGCTTCGAGCATGGCGGTTTCAACGGATAAGTTACTGACTCAGCCGCCGACTTCTTCTATTGTTACACCGACTCAGATGGCGGACAATACGATGAAAGTGGCATCCGGAGGCAGTCTGGATCCGACTGTTCGAGCAATGCTCTCTTTAGAGTTGGTGGCAACTCAGGCACCATTTGCACACAGCCCAAGTACTATTATGGAATTGCTACGCTCTCGAACTCCACAACAACCTCCACCTGATGAGCCTTTGGAGTACGAGATTGGAGACACAATCCCTACAGACATTCGACTGCTTCCGGGGCCTATAGTGTGTCGAGACGATTATATGGTGACGGATGATGCCACATGGGGTCATCACATCATATGGCACCCCCAACACTTCCAACCTGCATTGGCGAGAGGGAGGTGGGTTATGGCTATAAAAGAAGAAGGGGAGTGACAGTTTTGCCTCCACAGACATATGTCAAGATCGAACTTTCTGAAACATGCCAAAAATTAGATTGCCAAGCGACTCCTGCAACTTAATCCGGAGGTTTCTCAATCAAGACTGGAAGTAAGAACATAAGAAATTTTCCAAGAGTTCAAAACATTGCAGTGGCTTGAGTATCTGGAAGAGTTCTATGATAGACAAACCAGTCCGGCTTATGGATATTATTGACATGTCAGAGAAGATCTTGGGGAGAGGAAAAAATCAAGCGGCGGTGGTGACCATGGCAAGGGATTCGGATCGAGCGGAGGTGCGCATGACAAAGGATTGCGATCGGGGAGCGGTGCAAGTGACAAGGGTACGGAACCGAATGACGGTGCAAGCGGCAAGGACGCAAGTCGTGGGGAACGGCAACAAACCGAAAAGTCTAAGGGGCGTCAAGCAACAGAAGGCAAAGGATCAGCACCAAGCAGCGGTCGGCATGGCAAACCTACAGGACCAAGCGGCGGTGGTTCAACTGTCGAAGGGTCTCAGGGGCCTCAAGAAACAGAGCGCAAGGGATCAGGATCGAGTGGTGGTTCAACTGTCGAAGAGTCCCACGGTCGAGTCGAACACGACAGTGGCCTCGCATTGGAGCGTTCCCGGCTTGACCAAGCGAAGAGTCACACGGTCGAGTCGAACCCAACAGTGGGATCGGAAACGATCGCCGGTGCGACTGGCAGGGCTTCGAGACCACGGGGGGGCAGTACAACTATCGGCGGTGCTTCACCTGTCAAAGAGTCACACGGTCGTGTCGAACACGACACTCGTCCAGCATTCGAGCGCTCGCGGCTTGACCAAGCGAAGAAAGTCACTGTCGAGTCGAACCCGACAGTGGGATCGGGATCAATCGCCGGTACAAGTGGCAAGCCTTCGGGACCAATCGAGGTTGCTTCACTTGTCGAAGGGTCACACGGTCGAGCCGAACACGACAGGGGTCCACTATTGGAGCGCTCCTAGCTTGACCGAGCGGAGAAACTCGTGATTGAGTCTAACCCGACACAGCAACGGGGATCGATTGCCGGTGCGAGTGTCAAAATTTCGGGACGAAAAGACGGTGTGAGTTGCGAGGGCGTGAGTACAGCTGACCAAGTTTGGGCGACTACGATACTAGTGGGCAACAGTGTCGCGAAGTGAATATTAGTGGTACACTCACGGAATTGCAGATGCCGTCGTCGACGATGCCAGTCGAAGTAAGCGGCACTTTCCAGGACACTTTCGAGGGCGTAAAGGAGAAAGAAACTCTCCATGTACAGGGCATCGAAGAGGATGAAGGACATATAGTATTAAGTATACCGGAGCAAGCTGTACTTGTACAACCTCAACAAACGCTTGAACAACCTCAAACACCACAGTCTGCTAACCTCATGATAGCTATCGAGGAATCTCCTATAGCGCCATTGCATATGGAAGGTGTGACAGAAGCTCGTGTTAAAGAAAAACTGAGAGTTAGCCATCGAGGTGAGCATTTTCTTATCTTAGGAGCAATATCTAATACTATATGCGGATTAGTGGGTACATCACATGCACTCATCTCCCATTGTGTCGATCCCTCAGATGTATTGTTTATTTACCTAGCTTTGGAACTGTGCGTTTTCTGAAGAGAAATACTGCAATTGTTTTGTATGAAGACTTATTGCAATTGCCATATATTTTGTATTGGTATTCATGAGTCAGTTTCAACAATGGAAAGTCGGACTTGTAACTCATTATGTTTTATTTTGTCAATCATGCAGGGCGACGAAAAGAACTGTGGAAAACGACATATGTACACTCTCAAAGGAAGAGACAGAAGAATATCATTCGTTGTGGCTTGCAAGCTTTGTCAACTTTGTCGTTATTGCCAAAAAATGAGAGAAGAAGTCGTACACCCATGAACTTTTCATCTGTGAAGCCAGCTGCCTTAAGGATGTTTAAAGCTGTTGGAATAAGCCTCACAGAAGGGAAGAAATTGCATCGCACAGGTTGCAGTTTATCTGTTATGGATAGCAGCACTGATGACGAAACAGATAGACAACCAACAACATGAGCTCATATCTATGTAGTCTATCCTTTGTTTTTGTGTGAAGTCTTAGTCGCTCTATTGTTGTTTGATTACCGGCAGCACTGAAGAGAATGAAGAATACGGCATTGTCGATTATAAGGGAAGGTGGAAGGTGGAAAAGAAAGACGTCATGCTCGCCGCCAAAGATGGGGAATGGTTAAATGATGAAGTCGTCATTTTGTACCTGCGAGCCGTTCAGATCACCAATGACAACATAAAGAAGGTGGATTCGATATGTGCAGAAGTGACAAAAGATGAAAGTTTTTGTAGCATTCTATCTGTGTGTATTCTAATTTTTTTTTTCTTTCCCAGATTGTCAAAAACTCAGTCCGCTGAAATCGCATATTCCGAAGGGACGAGATGGGTGAAGGACATAAATCTTTTCAATTTTGATTTGGTAATTATCCCTCTCCATTTCGAAAATCATTGGGCCTTAGCTTATGTCAGTATAGATCGCACTGAGTGTAAATTCCGCCTCGTAGACTCTCTCCATCGTGTTGAGTACGGTCCAACCCTCGAACTTTTGGCAGGTTTTTTCAGAGCGGAGTTTCAGCGACAAAATCTTCAGAAAATATATTATGTGGAGGAGCCTACATCCTACTTTGATATCAGTAAATGAGATTCCTGCTCAAGAAGATTCTTCTAGTTGTGGTGTTTTTATGTTAGGTTTTGCATCTTTGCTTGCAAAAGGTTACTTCCCTCCGTTCGGTTTCTCACAAGATAGTATTCCTGTTGTGAGACTTAGAATAGCATTTGACATTTTGTTCATGGTTAGATAGGAAAGTCAATGAGAATTTCAGTTTATAGGTTTGGAAAAATGAGGTTGACATGTTTACTTAGTGTGAACATTCCGGGTGAAAATGTGTATTGTAGGCAATTTTGAAAATATGTCGACAATGTATAATGACATTTCCTAGACTTCTCATCAGTTTTTGATGAGGTTAGCGTGTTTTACTGAGTGACATGTTTACATAGTGGATTGCCAATCCTTGAGTGACATGTTTGCGGCTTGTGTACGTGTGAACATTCGAGGTGAAAATTTGTGTTTAATTTCCTTCAACAGCTTTCATGTATAACCATTGTTTTCTCGTTGTTTGCTTATTTTTCCCTCGGTTCTTTGTGTCATTTTACAATTAAAATAAAAAGTGAACATGAAAACAATTTCACTTTTAACGAAAACACCGTTACCTAAACTATCCCCATACCATACCGTTGAGGAAGAAGGAGGGATTTCCAAAAAACAAGGACGACAAGCCTAACCTAACCCGGCAACTCAACACCACCCGCCCATCTATACCCAACAACCCATCTCCTACCGCACGCCACCATAGCCCACCGTCTACCTCGTCGCCAGCTCTTCCGTATAATGTCATACCCTTATCTCGCCGCCCGTCCTTGCATCGTCGCCCACGCTCTCCAGTAGATCCCGCGTCGCGCCCTCATAATCTCGTCGCATGTCACTCCCGCCATCGCCTCGCCAACCGCTTCGCCCGCATCGCGTGGGACCGTGCTCTAGCGCAGGGGCGCAACGCTCCCGGTAGCGCCAGCCCCCGCCATCGAGGGGGGTATTACCTCGTTCTCTTCTTCTTTCGGAATGGTCCTCCGAAGTCCAACGGCTGGACCGTTGGCAACATGAGCCCTCTCCCTTTTTTTTTGGGAGGGGCTTGTGAGCTGAGGGTGTGGATTTTTTTATTTTTTTTATTTTTTTAAAGCTGCCTTCTCCTCATTGGGGGACAGCCATATATTTTTATCTCACCTCACGTATCTTTTAACTGCTGTTCTGCCATGTCATGAAAAATGTTTTTCTTTCACTACCGACAGACCACTACTCCTAAGGCTATTATACAGCGGACCCCTGCAAGCATAGCTTTCTACCTCTCTTCGATGAAGGGAGGTTACCTCTCTCTGTGGCGAGAGGTAAGGGCATGTTTGCCCCTTTGCCCTATCGTTTAGCTTGCAAGGATGGGGCCGCAAGTGGGGGCCCGACTAATACAAGGACAGAGCATTTGCCAGTAATTGTGCCTCCCTTTTCATCACCTTCCCCCAGTGGCACCCCAATCGAGTAACAGTAGTGTCTAAAGCCAACACTCTCCCACAGACCACACGCAACCCCCGCTCACACGCGCACTTACACCCACCCGTGTTGGTTGAAGAGCTTACTAATACCGACTGGGAGGATCCAGCTGACTATCTCAGTTGGTTGGGACCAAAAGTGCCACAGGTGGCCACGGGGATTGAACCCTTGATCTCCTGAATGCCACTTGCGTGCCTAACCAATTGAGGTAGGCCACTGGATTAGGGTGTGGATATTTTTTTTTTTATTTTTTTTTTACCAAAAAGTAAATGCATCTATTGAAGTTGACATAACTTGCCTTTGGACCATTCTCTACTTATGCGTGTCCTCCTTGAGCAGGTGCCATGGCCTAGCTCAGTTGGTTAGGCATGCAAGTGGCATTCAGGAGGTTGTGGGTTCAAGCCCCATGGCCGCCTGCAGCGCACTTAGTGTCAACGGACTGTGATAGTCCTCTGGATACCCCTGATCGGTATTAGCGGGGTCTATGACCAACACGGGTGTGAGTGTGAGCGCGAGTGGGTTGTGTGTGGTGTGTGGGAGAGTGTTGGCCATAGCCTCTGCTGCTACTCGATGAAGGGTGGGGGACGATGAGAAAGGGAGGCACAGCTACTGGTCTTTGTGTTAGCCAGACCCCCACTGGCGGCCCCAACCCTATACCCTAACCATTAGGGGCAAGGGGCAACATGAAATCTCCCCTTCACAGAGAGAGGAAAACTATGCTTGCGGGGGTCCCCTCTAGATAGTCTTAGGAGTAGGTAGTGGAAGGTAAACAAACAGGTGTTGAGAGAAGAATATAGACAGTTGTGATTACCCCAATTAAAAAAAAAAAAAGAGGGAAAATTTGCAAAATGCCCCTGAAGTTTCCGTTTATTTGCTATTTGCTCCCGGACGGCGGATTTTCCCTGATTTGCCCTTGGGGCTTCTGAACTTCCGTGCAGGCCCCTGCCAGTGAGGGGCCCAACTTTTCGGAATGCCCCTACCAGACCTGCGGTCCCATTTCCGGTGGTGCCTGTCCGATTTGCCCTTCTGTGGGGCATGCATCTTTGTGAGATGCCATTGAACAGGGAGGCGCCAAGAATTCCAATTCGTTCTTTTCCACTCCACCGCCAAAAAAGCAGGGCTGCACTCCAGGTCTCCCTTGCACCTGCAATCCACCGCCGTGGAGTTCTTTGGCTTTCTGCTGCTACACACCGACTTCCACATCCTCCACTTCAACATCCTCGGAGTTTGTTCGCGAAGGTCTGTGTTCCACCCTGTCTGCCATGTCTCTCTCTCTCTCTCTCTCTCTCTCTCTCTCTCTCTCTCTCTCACACACACACACACACACACACACACACACACACACACACACACTCATATGCAAAAGGATGGAGGGCGCAGCAGAAAGATGACAACATGGGCAAATTTCTGATATACCCCCGTAGCTCCCATCCCAGGGCCAGGGGAACGGACGCATCCAACAAAGGCCGTGGGGGCATACTGAAAAGATGCATGGTGCCAGTAGGGGCATATGGCAAATTGTACTGCAGGTCCACAATGGCCAACAGGTAGGGACATACTGGAAATTTGGCAGGTCCTCAACGGCCAACAGGTAGGGGCATATCGGAACTTTGGCGGTGGTACCGGTAGGGGCATATTGAACATATGTCAGGCCCAAGTGACGCCAGGGTTTTCTGGAAACTTAAGTCGTTGTGAGAGGGTCTAATCCGGAAACATCGGCCGTCCAGGAGCAAATCGCAAATAAACGGAAATGTTGGGGCATTTCGCAAATTTTTCGAAAAACACATCTTCTCTGTATCGTTCGAATTTTAACGGATGTCCCGAAGGACAGGGTGTGGAGTTCTTTTTTTTTTTCTTTTTAAAAGGGTGTGGATTTCCGGAATCACTGCAGACAGACTACCCAGAAAAGAAAAAAAAGGCAGGAAAAAAAAAAAAAAAAAAAAAAAGGGAATCACTGCAGAGCTCGCCGACTTCGCAGACTTGGCCGGCCCAGCTCGCGGGCATCGCTGACTACAGTCTTCGTCGGAACACAACGCACCCTCTCACGACCGTATAGGACCCGAAATATAGCCCGTATACATTCATACTCAGGGTGCGTTATGTTCGGGGGAAGACGGGTCAGAAGGCACGCACATAGCGGCCAACTTCTCGGCTTGGTGCCGGGTCATTGCCTGTCCATGTTCACCGGCATTCCGCCCTCGACGCCCCTAAATAAGTGACTCCGCAGCATGAATCAGGACTCAAACACTGATTACATGCTCTCATCACTCTTCCGTCACCCCTGCTGGAGAACGCAACGTAACAGCCATGTTGGCCGCTACGATATCCATGAAAGCTGCCCAAAAAAGAGCCATAATGGCCGCGCGTTCTATTCGGGCAGTAGGGGGAAGCAAAGGAAACAGAGCCTGCTACAGAGGGGACGTGGAAGTCCACTGACAAGGAGAAAAAAGAAGCTACACCTCCTCTTCCCCCCCAGCTCTCAACTCAGCCCCACCTACCCCCCTCTTCTCCCCCCGCTCTCCCACTCCTCTCCCCTTACCATGACCTCTACACTGATTGATCAGACATTAGTATGAGCAGTAGAAAGCTCATGCTACAGAATCATATTGACGTGAGCCGGGTCCTTTTTCGTTTTTTATTTTATTTTATTTTATTTTTATTTTTTTTATTTGGCCCATTTCTCGATTTATGCGTGTCATCGATTTTTTTAACGCGATTTTTTGGTCCAACGCGGTTGATCCCTGAGCATCTCCGGAAATGCTTATTAGTCAGTCAACTGTGAGGATGGGTTGGCGGCAAGAGGGAGTTTGGATGAGGTGGTGAAGAAGGTGGACAAACCCCCTGATGGTCGAAACCGGTCGGGGAGCCATATCCCAACCGGCATGCATTCTGCTGTACTTGTGTATCTTGGTACCTTGTAATTGGAATATACATCAGTTTTTTGACATGCGCTTATGTGTGTGATCGTGAAGCTGTGTATCTTCCTACTCTATTCAATGCATCCTTGCGCAAGGGGCCATGCTAATCTTCTGAGCCGGGGGCTAGGTCCCACTTACACGAATTAAGCGATATTGACCGTAGATAGCAAAGATCGACGGCCGAAATCTCCTCATTTGCGCAAGTGGGACCTTGCCTCGGGTCCTTTTGGTCCCGAAAAAAGCGAAACTCGAATTGTGGGGGTCCTCGGCCCCCTCGCAATCTTTTCCTGGAAATTTCTGCCCCGCCCCTTCCCCCCCCCCCAAAAAAAAAAGAAAAAAAGAAGACAATGACAATAATTTCAGGGAGAAACCAAACCCGCATTGCAGAGCAGCTGCAGTTGCCTGCCCTACCGCCGTCCCCCGAACACAACGCACCCTTATTTTGGCTGAATCTGGCCGGAAAATATAGCTTGTATGCATTCATTTTTAGGGTGCGTTATGTTCGGGGGAAGACGGTAGTGGGTGACGCCTCCGGTCCGGAATGGGTCCTCCAGACCCCCACTGAGGGTATAGAAAAGGTCCTCCGGATCCCCTCTGAGGGTACTATTGGAATCGGTCCTCCAGCCCCACACTGAAGGTATTACATGTAGCAAGGCGCCACTACCGTCCCCCTGAGGGTACTGGAATAGTAGGTCATTCAGATCCCGACTGAGGGTATTACCTGTGGCGAGGCGCCACTAAGGTCTTCCTCCGAATGCAGCCTGAAAATGAGCGTATACAAGCTATGTTTCCAGTCCGGTACAGACAAAATGAGGGTGCATTGTGACGATAGCGAAGAGGAATGCCTCAAGGCCCGAAAATGGAAAGAACACAAAAAAAAGTAAAAAAAAAATAAAAAAAAATGGATGGAAAGAAAAGGACGCCTCACAAAGGAGGGCCAAACCGGGGTTGCGTTGTAAAAAAAAAAAAAAAAAAAAAAACCGGGGTTGCACCGGGGGCCAAGTCCCACTCAGAAGATCCAGCATTTCTCGACTTTTAACCGTCCAATCAGAAGATCGACGGCCAGAAATGAGGAATCTGGTCAAGTGGGACTTGGCCCCGCGGCCAAGTCCGGATTACCCCAGTTCTCGATTATGAAAATCGAATCAACGGCCAGAAACGATGAATCCGGCCAAGTAAGACTTGGGGGGGGGGGGATGGGGGGCATTCCGAAGAGGGTGAATCTGGACGTGATGAAAGCCAGAAACGCCTTCAGATTCAGGGGAGAAAATGGAATACGGTTTGCTAATGGGACCTCCGCCCCGGGGGAATATTGAGTTGTTGTGGGTGGATGGAGTTAGGGGCTCGCCATAATGTGATATGTACTATGAGAGCTCATATATATATATATCGTCACAAACAGAACTGCCCGGTAAAACCGTAGGCAGAGAGAGAGAAGAGGACAACAAACGAGGGGCTGTGACAAACTGTTTCGTCGGAGTTTCACCGATATATATATATATATATATACGTGATACCCAGGGGGGGGGCAAAGAAGGAAAGCAAGCGAAATTTGGGAAGCGGACAGTTTTGTTGATGTTTTTGTGGAGTTTTTTCTTTCTTATTTTTTGGGAGAATTTTCAATGTTTCGTCGTTTTGTCTTTTCGTTTTTTAAAATCCTGTTTTTTTTTTTTTTTTTTTTTTTTTTTTTTTTTTTTTTTTTTTTTTTTTTTTTTTTTTTTTTAAAAGGTTTTTTTTTTTTTTTTCCTGTCTTTTTTTTTTTTTTTTTTTTTTTTTTTTTTTTTTTTTTTTTTTGTTTCTCTTGTTTGTAATCTGAAGACGGTGCTCAATATACAAAATCCTGTTGCGCACCGTGGACAACGACAGTATATGTGTAACTCTCTCTTTCGTGGGCTTTGTGGTAGAATAGAACGAGGAGGAGGAGAGGTGGCGAGAGGGTGGGTGGTTGGCAGATCCGTTTCGTGTCTCGCTGTACCGAAGGCGCTCTGCTACGGTGATCACGTTCGATCCTGTGCGGAGTGAAGAGCGGGGGAGGTGGGTGGTGGGTGGTGGGGTATATAAGCCGCAAGTTGAAGCAAGGAGTGGGTACCCAAGCAACGAGTGCGGTGTGCAACGCAACAAGCAGAGTAGGCCTGCTGCAAGATCAGTAGGCCTGCTGCAAGATAAGGGAGGGAGGGAGGAGGAAGGGAGGGAGGGAGGACGGGAACAGGACGGGAGGAAGAGGCGGCTTCTCAGGGAGCTTTGGTGATCGAAATCGAGAGAGAGAGAGAGAGAGAGAGAGAGAAACACACACACACACACACACACACACACACACACACACACACACACACACACAGAGACACAGAGAGAGAGAGAGAGAGAGAGAGAGAGAGAGAG